CCAGTTAATATTAATTACATTGACTATCTATTCTCCATGAAACTTTTCAGTGAAGACTGAAGCAAAACAGGCACTGAACAATGTGGACTTCTTGATAGGAATGTGAATGATTAACAGCTTACCGGTTATGGTTAAATGGCGGGGGTTGGAACACCCCTCCCTCGATCTGCTCCATTTAAGTGGTTAACAGGTTAAACATACCAGTTAATATTAATTACATTGACTATCTATTCTCCATGAAACTTTTCAGTGAAGACTGAAGCAAAACAGGCACTGAACAATGTGGACTTCTTGATAGGAATGTGAATGATTAACAGCTTACCGGTTATGGTTAAATGGCGGGGGTTGGAACACCCCTCCCTCGATCTGCTCCATTTAAGTGGTTAACAGGTTAAACATAACATTTAACCCGTTAACTGATTAAATGGAATTTTGCATCTCTAGTTCTCAGATCTCTCTTTCCCACTAAATAGAGGACCTACACTTTCCTTCATGTCTTTTGCTCCTAAAGTTTTTAAATAATTTGTTCTTATAGCCTTTTATATCCCTTGGTAGGTGTATTTCCTTTTGTGGCTTAGCGTTTCTGACTTTGTCACTGTAAGTTTTCAGTCTAGGTAATGAAAGTATCCATGAATGGGTGAGTTACATGGTCATTCCGAATGAGTATCAATAAAATATGTATTCTAATAACGTACCATCATGTATTCTGATATTACATATACTGTGCAGAAAATCTCTTTTAGAACTGTTTAGAGTCCTCTTTCATATATCTCTACCTAAAATCAGGGTGCATTGTATCACAAATGCAACTGTACAGGCTTGAGAGGGTAAGAAACTCACCTGTTTGTAACTAAAAAAAATGTTAGAACCCTCTAACAATGAGCTAGAATTAGAATTTCTATTCATACTACAACATGATTTTAAATTATGTATACCAGCTGATCTGCTGCTTAGTAAAAATTTAAGCACAGACACTATACCAATTCAGTTTGTTACCCTCTGTTTTCCTGTCTTAGTCATTTTAGTTATAAGGCATTTCATTTGGAAATCTGTATTTCTCTTCTTTTTTTTCCTTTTCCTTTCCTTTTGTGTTTAGTTGGACTGTGTTAACAGATCATGTGAATTTGTTCACTCATTCAGGTAGGTTCTGAGTACTGTAACAACTTTTCTGATTATCCTGGAACTAAACTATCTGCTGAGCTGCAAGCCAACTAGTCATGTTGGATGATAGGCACAGATGCAGAAGGCTATACTGGTGAAGGAATCCTTTTACTCAGAGTGGTTATAAAACCTGATCTAGTTTATTGGCTGAAGTAGGCTCTACAGGCCCATCTTCCAGGCTAGGTCTACACTAGGGGATACATTTTAATTAAGATACGCAAATGCAGCTACATTAATTGCATAGCTGGAGTTGAAGTATCTTAAATTGAATTTTGGCACCGTCCACGCTGTGAGAAGTCGAATGGAGTACACTCTCCCTTCGACTTCTCGTACTCCTAATAGGAGCAAGACTGCCAGCACCTTCTCAGTTTGAATTAGCATGTCTTCATTAGACCCACTAATTTGAACCCCAAGAAGATCAACTGGCAGCTTTAATCTTCTCTGTAGAGAAGACTTGGCCCCACAGAAGACAAGAGGACCATAGCAATGGAACTTCAAACCCTGTCTCTCCCCAAGAACAGCCATAGTCTGGCCTTTCCTTCTCCATACATACTGCAGTGCAGAAGGTGTAAATGGGGTTTTATGTATAGTGGGAGGTTGTTCTTCCCTTTCTACCTGAAAAGTTCCAAATAAAATCCATCCCATATCAGACCCAGTGAAGCAGAACCTGAATTGTAATCTGCTTGCTGTAGTATTAATTATCTAGATAACTAGGAATCCTTTCTACGTTATGTTAAAAAGATAGCAATTTTCTTTGCAGTCAAGAACTAACGATTTTTTTAATAGTTGTTGACTGTGTGTGTATAAACTTTTGGTGACAAAGCATTCACAAATCCTTAACCATGACTGTAATCATATCATACAATGAAGCGAAAAGACAGCTGAATTTGAACAGATTCTAAAAGACAAGATCTTATTACTGCCACAGAAGTTCCAATTACTTTCACAGACATCTTTGATAGAAGAAGTAACTTCCTCCTCTTAACTGTGGAAGTTCTAAAAAAATTATTGTCATTTACAAAAATTGTCCACTGTAATGGGCAAAAAAATTGTTATGCATTTTGTTTGCCAAATTATGATGTCTTTACTTACTTCTACATGGTATAAAGAAAAATTAATATTTCAACAGCACTGTATTTCTACGCATTCCAGATGGACCTTAAAGCAGGATTTAATCCTGATGTCACAGATGCATAATAATGAAAAGCAATCAGGCCTCCCATCTGTTCTCAAGCTGTTTGCTTGTTCATTTTGGCTTGAAATAAAAATGTATGGGGGGAGTAGGATGTGTATTAAACCATGTGACTAAATCTCTCAAAAGACGAAGAACCAGTGAGCAGCAAACCCAAACAGGTGGAATGATTGCTAGAATACCTTCTCTAAGGATTTACGTTTATTGCCACCAAGAAAAAGATTATTGTACTATGAATTTAGTTGTGGTTCTCCAGTATGTTGTCCATTTTCTTAAAGGATTTCAGGACTGTAATTTGTGAAGAACATTAGTAACCAGTGTTATTGACCTCAAAGATATGCAGCATCAAATCAGGCACTCTGTGCTGGATGCTCCGATCTTAACTGTGGATGCACACTTCACTTTGCATTGTCATTGGCAGGGAGATAGGTTATCTAGTTTAGCACTTCTTTTCCACTACTAAACTTCATCTGCTGCATACTGCATTTTATTTTGCAAATGTAAGAAAACTTTATCACAGCACCTGAAACAATCAGGAACTTTTGGTTTTGGCGGTAAGTAACGTGTAATCATGTGGCCTTGGTTTTTTTTACTCTCATCTTCTTTCTCTCCCCTTCTCTCTATTAATTAGTCTTATACACTTGTATTATATTGTAAGCTGAGTCTGAAAGTGTGCTAATGTGTGAGTATTCAAAAAGGGCAAGCAGAATGGCCTGAGTAATATTAACACAGTTAATTTGACATCAGCCCTTTGCAAACTAATGGAAAAGCCGATATGGGATTTAGTTAATAAAGGATTAAAAGACTGAAATATAATTAACGCCAGTTAATGGAAAACTAACTAATTTCATTTCTTCAAAAGATTACAAGTTTGGTTAATAAAGGTATCTGCATGGATATAAGAATTTGACTTAGTTCTGCATGACATTCTGATAAAAACAATTGGGACTATACAAATTGAATATAACACATATTAAATGGATTAAGAACTGGCTAACTGACAGGCCCTCAAAAGTAATTGTCAGTGGGGAATCACTGAATGGGGTTTCTAGTGGGTCCCATAGGGATCAGTAGAAGGCCTGATGCTATTCAACATTTTAATCGATCTCAAAGTAAATATAAAATCATTGCTGATGGAATTTGTAATAATGCACATGTTGGTGGAATGGTAAATAATAGTGAGGACTGGGCAGTCAGATTGAGTGGGATCATGTGGTAAGATAGGATGACAAAATGATCTGAGAGTTGAAGAGACTTAAATGATGAAGTAGTTCTGTATCCAAAGGACTTTCATAAGGTGTTCTGTCTGGTAATTCAGAAGATATGACAAGCCTATTGGCAGATATTAAATACAAAATATACTTTCACTGCACTTGTTTAGGAAATAAATTGTTTTCTAATTCAGAGGAAGAAGCTGATCCAAACAGCATTGTTACAGAATATCTGCAGGAGAAGAAAAAATACGAAGATATGCGGAAGCAGCAACCAAAGAAAGGGATTTCTCGTGAAGATCAGGTAATTGCTTAAAATAATCAAACTGGCACTGAGAAAAACCTGTTTCATAGAAAACTCTGGAAAAGTTTCTCATTTCTTCAATTGTATTATAGAAATTTTTACTCTAAGAAAAAGATTAGCTTATTTTTTAAAAAAAAGACTCAGTGACGCCTTATGTGGGTTATTCAGACATAAGTGCTAGGAAAGTCTCTGAACTTTTCACTCTGTTCTTCAGGTAGAACATCAATATTGGTATGCTTGGAAGTACCATGAGTTTGCTCCAAAAAATCCTGGAGAGAAGGGCTACCCACATAGCATTGCCCTTGTCTGGTGGCCAAGACTTCCCATGGGCCTCTGCTCTTGAAAATTGCTACCTCCCTAGGGACAGTTTTGCAGCATGGAGAAGGAACCTATATGTACTGGCTTGGTTAGTATTAACATGCCTCAAGTTTCTCCACAAGTTTGGAGTTGCTTATGTTTTTGTGTGAGGAAAGTTGGGTTGGGGGCTTTGTGTGTCGAGACAGCGAAGAAATAGTGCTAGAACAACAGCCACCCCCAAACCACCCGAACACACGTGTATAATCTGAACCTTTCAAAATCCTAACCTACAGAGAGCCTGCAATAGAGGAAAAGAAGGAAATATCCAGTGGAGCCAGCCCATTGCATCAGAAATGAAAGAGAGCATATTGGTATTAGGCTGAATCTACACTGAAAGCTATTGAAGTTATTCCCGTTTGCATACACATACTCAATAGATCTCATGGAGCTAACACAATGTATCATGGGTAGCAGTAACAGAAGCACAATTTTTAGCCATGCTGAGAACAAACTAATCTGAACCTCATGGAGATGTCCTCATAGAATACTGAAACAGGAAGGGACTTGGAGAGGTCATCAAGTCCAGTCCCCTGCCCTCACGGCAGGACCAAGCACTGTTCTAGATCATCCCTGATAGGTTCCCATCCAACCTGCTCTTACATATCTCCAGCTATGGAGATTCCACAACCTCCCTAGGCAATTTATTCCAGTGTTTAACCACCCTGGCAGGCAGGAAGTTTTTCCTTATGTCCAAACTAAACCTCCCTTGTTGCAATTTACGCCCATTGCTTTGTGTTCTATCAGAGGCCAAGGAGAACAATTTTTCTCCCTCCTCCTTGTAACATCCTTTTAGGTACTTGAAAACCACTGTCATGTCTCCTCTCAGTCTTCTATTTTCTAAACTAAACAAGCCCAGTTCTTTCAGTCTTCCCTCACAGGTCATGTTTCCTAGACCTTCAATAATTTTGATTGCTTTTTTGGGGAGGGGGGAGGTCCTTTTTAAACCTCATCCTGTTTACCTCAGACCATTTCTCCAGTTTGTCCGGATCATTTTGAATTATGACTCACCTCCAAAGCACTTGCAGCCCCTCTATCTTCTGCAAACTTAATAAGTGTACATTCTATGCCAATATCTAAATCGTTGATGAAGATATTGAACAGGTCTGGTCCCAAAGCTGACTCCTGCGGAACACCACTTGTTATGCCCTTCCAGCATGACTGAGCCATAAATAACTACTCTCTGAGAACAGTTATCCAGCCAGTTATGTACCCACCTTATAGTGGCCCCATCTAGGTTGTATTTCTCTAGTTTATAGATAAGAAAGAAGGTCATGAGAGACTTTATCAAATGCTTTACTAAAGTCTAGTTATACCCGTCCACCACTTCTCTCTTATCCACAAAGCTTGTTATCCTATCAAAGAAATCTATTATATTGGTTTGACATGATTTGTTCTTTACAAATCCATGCAGGCTGTTACCTGTCACCTTATTATCTTCCAGATGTTTGCAGATGAATTCCTTAATTACTTGCTCCATTATCTTTCCTGACACAGAAGTAGTTAAGCTGACTGGTCTGGAGTTTCCTGGATTGTTCTTATTTCCCTTTTTATAGATAGGCATTGTATTTCTCAGTATGGCTGAGCCATTCCTCCACTGTTACTATCTATACTCCTACATCTACACTGTTGTTTCTGCTCACATTAGCTCAGTGAGAGATAACAAAAAAAAACATATATAGGTGAGTAGGACACCCCTATTTCATAAGCATAGCTTAGTACATATGGTCACATTCAGTGTCATTAATGTTGTAAAAAAAATTCCATTCTGTTGTCCTGTTCTGACTCTTCCTGCTTTCCATAATGTTTATCCTTTGGCCTGATGTGTTATATATTTGGTCTCGGGACAAAATTGACTTTTTTTTTGGTAACTTCAAGGGATGATAACCATGTTGAAATGGACAAAAATATATTTTCTTTAATGTAGGAAGAATATTTTTTCTTTGATATAACAAAAAAAGATAATATTGCTAAATCAAACATGGTAGGTGAATAGATCTTGATAAGCAAATGTGCTTTGCTAAATTTGAAATTACATATATTAAATAATGGGATAGAGAATACACTTACGAAATTTACAAGCTAGAGGAGGGAGAATGCTTTGGAGAGTAAAATTAAAATTGGACAAATCTGGACAAATTGGAATGAAGTAAATATGATGAAATTCAATAAGGACAAATACAAAATATTCCACTTAGGAAGGAACAATCAGTTGCACACACATAAAATGGGAAACGACTGCCTAGGAAGCAGTACTGTAGAAAAGAATCAAGAGGTCATAATGGATCCCAAGCTAAATATGAGACAACAGTGACTTGCAAAAAAAGCAAAAACCCTTCTAGAATGTATTAGAAGCATTATAAGCAAAACTCAAGAAGTAATTCTGCCACTCTACCCCATGCTGATTGGGGTTCAATTGGAGTATTGTGTCCAGTCTGGATGCCACTTTTCTGGAAAGATGTGCAAAACTGGAAACAGTCCAGAGAAGAGCAACAACAATTATTAAAAGTCTATAATACATGACCTTTGAGGGAGATTGATATAAAATGGGGTTTTTAATCTGTAGAAGAGGATTGACAGGACAGATCAGTTTTCAAGTAGCTAAAAGGTTGTAACAGGGAGGAGGGAGAAAAAAATGTTGGTTACCTCTGAGGACAAGAGAAGACGCAATAAGCTTAAATTGCAGTTTGGTTGGAAATCAGGAAAAATTTCCCAACTCTCAGGGTGGTTAAGAGTGGTGATTGGAATAAATTGCTTATGAAGGTTATAGATGTAGTAGTTCAGGACAGTGAACAGTAAATTCAAGATTTACTAGTGTGGCATCCTGACAGGTTTCCTGCTTCGTCAGTGATGATAAATGTTCAGCTATGTGCGTTCTTGTATGCTCCCATAGTATATCATGCCAGCTTTGTGCAGATTGCTAGATTAAACTTTACAAGAGCCCCCAAAAACCACAGACTCAGATAAGATACAAAGACACCCGAGTTAGGTTCATTGTCAAACGAAGTACATTAATAGTTGTTGGTAGCCAGATGGCCTTTGATCCCCTATGTATTGTACCTGGGACAGTGGACTCAGCTAAATTAATAGTGTGGATTATCATTGCCCCCTAAGCCAACCAAAGAGTTAAGTGAGGTACCCCAACATTTATAGACAGAAATGAGTAATCTATGATACCCACCGTACATATCATCTTACACATTAATGACATATTTGGTACTTCCTCTTGCACTTTCCTCCAAAGCATTTACTATCCGTTGTTATGCTTTCTCTTTTGTTGTTTCGTACTATTTTATCATGTACTCAGCTGGGCGTTTCAGTACTGTCCTGATGGGATGTATTTACATATTTTATGTGCTTTTATTAGTGCTAGCAGTTATAGTGCAAAGAGACACCAATTTGCAGGCAAACATCTGCTTTTGACACCGCCTGTCTGTTGTTCATAGTACAACTCTTGCTTAGTTTGGTTCAATCACCAGGCCCATGCTTCAGGCTCTCTCTTTTTCCTACATTCCCCTACTTTTTGTTTTTTCTGGGGAGGATGTTGACTGGAGATTTTTAAGAACAGGTTATACAAACAAAGGTTAGATAAGAGCAAGTTAGATAGGGATGGTGTCCCTAGCCTCTATTTGCCAGAAGATGGGAATGAACTAAAGAGTTCATGGAAATTTTGAATCTCCAAAGGCTATTAACCCTCAATGAAAGAAATTAAAGTGCCGTTGGCAAAGTGGATCACAGTCAACTCAGGTGTATAATTACAGTATGAGCAATACCTGGGGTAATACCTGTAATACCTGGAGGAGGACTACCATCAGCTCTCTCTTCCCCACCCCCAGTACTGTTGTTAGGATGCCATTGCTTTCATCAGAGAGTTAATGGACTAGGGGAAAGGATTGTCTCTTTACTGTGCCAAACATGAGATGCCTCAGTCTCCTTTCCTATCTTCTTTATGAGATGCATTCTCCTAATCCACTTTGAAGTCCAG